CAAGGTATCTAGCTTACATTCCAACATTCCAACATTGCAGCAACGTGAGTTTCCTAGTAAACTTCATGAATAGGATAAACATGGCTATTCTATGTTTATGTGATTATATACTAAAAGTTAAATTCATTACAATGTTTCTTAGCTATTTAGAGCCTTAAATGGCAACAGGATTTAAGAAAACATTCAGACAAACAATTTTCTTGATTTCCAGAAGAAAACTATACTTACTGATACTGTCCAGTTCGGAGAAAACAGAGAGCCCGATTGCCATAAAGAAGGTGATTTTCAGGCCTTAAAAAGGTTAGATAATACTGCATTTAGTTTGTAAGCCAGAAAGTGAAGCATAAACACTTAGCCATAAATTTATTTCAAGTGAAAGTTCAAGATATCAAAATTTAATCTGTAAACTGAATTTGAAGAAATACTCAATTTTTTAAAAAACTTATCTGCAGAATAAATGTTTGAGAATTGACTCTAGAAAGAGAATTCAAGGGGCATACCTGTGGCTTTTACTATTAGCCAGCGTATAGCTAAATATCACAATTATAACAGTTTGCATAAACTGACCTTGATAACAACAGTGTATATATTACCCATTCTTAATTCATTATTAATAGAGAATCTACTCTTATGTTTTCTCTCTCAACCCAGAAGACTGTCAAGATGAAAATGAAGGTGAATCAATGGAAATATTGCATGCTTTGCTTTCCTTAGAAGCAGAGATGAGGAGCTCAAGGTCAAGCTAATTCCACTATGAAGTCTAGGCCCCTGTCTCCAAATCAAAAAGAAGCTGCAGTCCAGTACAGCCTAGAGAACATAGCCATTTTTAGGTTCAGGATGAAAAATACAATGCAACTTTTGAAGGGCATGTCTTACTTAGGACTAAAGGCATACCCAAGTGTTTTATGCAGGCTCTAAAGTTTTAAATCCCTTTAATTGCAAGCAATAAGTGCTGGAAACAAAGTCTTGTTAATAGTGCCATTCTTGATTTATCCTTGTTTTTTATAGCATGAGTCTTGGGCTGGCTTTTTGAAACCTAATTTTGCCTATGACTTACCTATCTGCTGATTTTGCAGTAATTACTGACTTTTCATATGGTATACTAGCCTGATAGCTATGCATAAAGAGACACATGCCATAATAATTTCCTGTTATAACTTTTCCCATAAATTTATTGTTACTTAAGAGGTTTCAGAACAGACCATTTTTTATTCTATTGTTCTCTATTTCTACTGAGAAGAAAAGTTTTTTGAAATGCTATAACATATAGGGCATACAAATTGTATGTGGTATGCTGACTTCCCCCCCCCCCCCCCTTCCCCAGCTGACTTCCTCAGCTTCTCAAACTGGAATACTTATAAGTTGTTCCCAACATCAATCAGCTGGGGAGTAGGATCCAGGTAGGGCATAATGGGATTTTCAGTGATCCTGTTGTGTGCCTTTGCCAGTTGACTGGTGCCAAAACTGAAGACCTTGTCAATCTGCACTGTGATGTAGTAATCGCAGAATCAATCCATTGAATCATGGAGAGATATACCTCAGCTGACTGGAGATAGCTGTCTATGTGTGTGCACAATCAAGTGAACTATGGCTGTCAAATGAAAAAATGAAGAGTCCATTTTTAGCTGGTCTGCAGAGGTAAATTCTTATTCCAGATGTAGTCAGCAAACCAGTGATGTTATTCACTATCTGAAATGTTTAGAAGTCCTTTTTGGGTCTTACATATACTTTCAAATGAACATCATTATTCATGACTTCAGATATATTAGGAAACCCTACAAATTTAAAATATTGTACTCCCACCTCTCTCTTTGATTATAATACTCTCATTATATTATTCTAAATTTGAGTTTCTGCACATTTGCATGCTTTTGTGAAGTTACATAATTTATTCCTTACCACAGTTCTATAGCTTTTGTATAGAAAGTGACTGCAGTATCAAATTTCCCCTTAGCAAAGGCTTCATTTCCCCTCTTTTTCATACTTTCACTGTTCTGTAATAAAATATGACAAATTAAAGTTAACATGAACTGCAAGTTATTTTCAAATGACAATACACAAGATTTAGTCTGCCAAATTCATCGTGAACAATGCTGTTTTAAATTATTTTAAGCTATTTCTGCTATATAACATATATCAGTAAATAATCATCTAGTAAGGTATTTGCAGCCAAGCATTTATATTTTAAAAAACATTTCAAAACCATGAACATTCTCATTCTAATTTAAACACCAGTTTGTATGAAATTGGATCATTTACTCTAGCAGTGATCTTTGTTCAAGATACACAATGTAAAAGGTTAGTACATTTTACTGAAATGAATGGGAGAACCATTCAAGACCACACTCTATGTGTACATCAGAGCTTCTGTATCAGGGTATCTAGTTTGGTTGTTTTGAAATGTCTGTTCACCTTCCATAACGCAGAGATAATTTATTTTATATATAGGTGCTACAAAAGACCAGACAAAACAGAAAAAGAAAGCATTTCACTATTAAATTAGCCTCAAAACTGTTGTTAAATGTAATTTAAAAAAAAAAACTCACCATCATACAGTTGTCACAATAATAAGATTCAAAGGCTTCTACTAAATTGTAGTCCTCCAAAATAACTTTACTTATATAATACTTATCTGTAATAAGAAACATAATAATGCTCAATTAAGACAATAGCATTGATTATTTGCTGTTAAGAGGTATAGTACTGAAATATGTTGAAAAGTCCTTTTAAGGAAAAAGGGACGTTTCTCCTTTGCTTAAAATGAGCTAATGGGAGAGCCAAAGCCAGCGTTCATAAATGTAGAAAAGAATGCTGTATTAACAATGGGAAGCTAAAAGGCCTTCAATGCTACAGGATGGAGCAGAATAGAGGAATAATGTCCAGAGGACATAAACCTACAAGTTGCATATGGGGAAAAAAATCATATGGGGCCCTGAGTTGCATATATGCTCCACTATGAATCATGAAAAGCTAATGAAGCTATTGGGGCCCAGGAGACCTTCTGAATCCAGCACAACAGCAATGGCCCAGTGAAAGAATTCCAGCTCAGTTCCTGAAACACTCCGTGTTTTTTGGCTATGGTTGCTGGCACAGACAAACCCTGATATTAAATGCCTTTTCCCTTTGGGATTGGGCCATTCCATCTTTTTTTTCTGACAAGATGTAATAAAAATAATGTAAAACAAATGCATGATTACACCAAGGTGAACCACTCCTATCATATACTGCAAATAAAATGAATCACAGGATTTTAAAAAAATAAAACTGCATTTCCAATAATGAATTAATAAGAAAAACGTATACAAGGTAATATTGTTTCAAACTCTTAATTCTATTCTACGTTAGTTAATAAAAGCTCCCTGAAGCATCCTATAGTGCTCAAAGGGAACTTTCCAATTCCTAGCTACATGAATTCTGCAGAAAAGAAATTCTTTACAGTAATTCATACATTTAATGTAAAACACTCCCAAAGTTAAAAATTTATTTGCTCTGCTCTGGTGGATTACGTTAAGAACTGTAAAAATCACCCTGAATTAAATGTGGTTTTTGTCTACTAATATTCTACCCAAAATAATTCATCTTTAACTATACAGATTTCAGCATCTGTTGTACACTTATCTAACCAAAATTTAATAATGCAATATTTCTTTTTAATTTTGATTTTTTTACAACTAAAAAAGAAGAGAGGAAAGATCAAAGAGTTCTATTACATCACTGATGATAAATGCAACTTCATTAGGCATAAACTGATTCATGGGCTACTGGATCAAAACCTAAATTGTTATTTAGCAGTTAGCAAGTTTTAGGTTTGGACATTACAGTGTAAATTTTTAGTTTTTAATTGAAGAAAGATATGAGCCTGCTAACATTTTCATGATTACTTCCTATCCTGCTGTAAAACTGCAGCAGTACTTCATGCTTGTTCGGTTGAGTGGAAACAATGAAGCTTTTTTAACGGTAGACACTAAGTGAGTCAGTATGAGAAGCAATAGGATATGGAGTTAGATCCAGAAATCTGTGCACAAATAGGTGGGAGAAATGGCATTTTCAGAGGATTTGCAAACGTTTCTCCCCAAGGGCAGCTGTAGAATGAGATGTGTTGCAGCATGGAGAGTGATATTTCCTTACCCCTCAGCTCTCTCAGGACAAACAACTTTTGGGAAAGACTGACATCTATCACAGAGAGGTGTTAGTAAGAATGCTTTCTGTGATGAAACTCTGAATCCAAGCCATAAAATATAAGAACAACAAGATCTGCATTAAGGATCAGCTATTTCTTTCAGCTTAAGACTACAGAAATCCTCTTTCCTTCATGGGAAAAAAAATGCTTCCTATACTGGTTATAGGAAGTTTAAACTGTTTGTATACTCACACGCAAAAAAGAACAGTTTGAGGAAAGACCAACAATAATCTCCAAGTTTCCCTAACTTCTGTAAAATGCCAACGTCATCCACATATTTGATCCAGTCAAAAACTTCAGAAGTACTCAATATTCCCTATTTTAATTAAGGAAAAGATCAGTATTATAATTATATTCATTATTATTAAATTTGAGCATATACAATATTCCCCATTTCACAAATGCTTGTCTGTTACAGAAAGAAAAACACAATTCATGTTTAATATATCACATCTAAGAACAACAGTTGCTAAACTATTTCAAAAGAACATTAATATATTTATTAGTTTACTTACTGATTATATCAATATAAGCAACGTTTTTAAAATACTACAATAGTACATCCTAACAAAATTATTTATAGTTGCTACCATGTTTAACAAACAGCAAACAACATAAATTAGCATGTCCAATGTTTGACTACCACTTTTGTGAGTCATTAGTAGCAATACATTATCTTATATACTTTTTACTAGAATATCAAAGGAATTCCTTCATAATACAGTATAATGGACTTAGCAAAGTCATAAACAAACAGTACTTCCTAAACTGAGTAAGGGTGGGCAACCTGCATTCCCCAGCCCCAGTTTTACAATTCCCTTAGCATCTGCGGCAAAATATAGTGATACATGTATGCTAATTTATGACTATTTATAATATTTTATATTGATCTGTGTATAATCTAATAAGCTACAGCAAAAAGCACTGATTTATATATAACTTTTTTAGCATATGAGTATAAAATGTTAAAATAGCTGAAGTGAAGCACACAAAATAACAAATGTGAACAATGAGATTGGATCAATGGATAAGGTAACAGTACAGCTGGGTGAGGATGTCAACATGAGGAACTGTTTCTGATTGTTATGAAGAAGTGATAACAAAGAATATCAAAAGAAAGTTGCAACAAAATGATAATAAAGATACTGTTCTCAAAACAAGTTTTTCAACAAAAATTCCTTTTTAGGTTTCTCACACAAAAAAGGTAAAGAAAAAAGCTGGAAACCTAATAATATGGCTGCTAGAAAGCAACAAGGAACAATGTCAATGAAAACAGTAGAGATGTTATGCTACTGAAATGAACACCAGGCTCTTGGACATGTACTGATATGGAAATAACAGGAGCAAGTGAGAGAATGGCTCTTTGTAAGCTAAAGGTGAAAGTTAAAAAAAGCCTCTTCATTATGTAAGTGACCATGTGCGAGTATCCATAAAATATTACTAATTTCTTTAATAAAATTGAGTTGTACTAAGCATATATATTGGTCCAATGCCTGGATTCCTAGAGACTGACATTGAACTGCTCACTCTGGTCCTGAAGGGGAAGGAGTAAGTTAAATAGAATTGTGCCTTAACTTTGTGCATAAAAAAAAAATGTGCTCAACAATACAGAAATTCAGATTCATATTATTGAATTATGAGAATATATAATTTTAAATCACTGGGAAATTATCCCAGAAGGCTGTGTCTCCTGTGTCTCCTTTTGATCTATGTGTGTCTTGATCTATCTGTGTACTCTGTGTCTTCTCTTGATCTATTTATTTATTTATTATTAAATTTATATGCTGCCCACCTCCCCCAGAGAGTGACTCTGGGCAGCATACAATTAAAAAACAAGCAATAAAACAATAAAAATATAAATACCCCCCAATTAAACCATAAATAACAAATCTATAAAAACAATATACAAATCAAGAAGATGGGGGAAGCAGTATCAATCATCCCACGAGCCAGCTCCAGCAATGTGAGCCCCCATCAGGCCCCCAGGCCATCCGGCATAGCAATGTTTTTACACCTTTTCAGAAGGCTAGGAGAGTGGGGGCAGCCCGCACCTCAGCTGGCAAGCTGTTCCATAGGGCAAGGGCCACAGCAGAAAAGGCCCTCTTCCTAGACCCCACCAGCCAATATTCCTTGACTGGCGGGGTCCACAACATGCCCCTTCTACCAGACCAAGTGGGGTGGGCAGATATAACTGGGGTGAGACGGCTCCTCAGATAACCTGGTCTCGTGCCATTAAGGGCTTTAAAGGTGATAACCAACACCTTGAATTGGACCCAGAAGCAAACAGGCAACCAATGCAGCTCAATAACAGAGGTATTATATGTGCCGCCCTAGGGACATTCAAGATTGTTTGTATCACTGCATTTTGTGCCAGTCGTAGTTTCTGAATACTCTTCAAGGGTAGCCCCATGTAGAGCACATTGTAGTAATCCAAACAGGAGATGACCAGGGCGTGAGTGACCGCGCAGAGGGCCTCCTGATCCAGGAAGGGGCATAAGTGATGCACAACGAAGCTGCATGAAGGCCTTCCTAGCCGCAACTGCCACCTGCTCTTCAAACAGGAGTCGTGAGTCTAGGAGGACTCCCAGATTACATACCAGGTCTGTCTGGGGTAGTGCAATCCCATCTAGAACCTGAGATGATAAGCTCCTAGTTTGTGATGGACTGGAATGGAGGAAGGGGGGTGAAAACGGTGCTCTCGTCCCCCAAACAACAATCTTGGGATTAGAAAAGAAAACAGGGGCATTCCTAAAACAACCACAAAAAAAAAGAGAATTGAGACCTGGGACATGCTG